ACTAATAGAAGTTAATTTTAGTACTATTATCTAGTACTTAGATATAATAGACCCTTATATATAATTATATAAGTATAGTCTAGGCTATTCTAACATCTAGAATTATAGTTAGAATTAGGTATTAGTAATCTTAACTACTTTCTATTAGATCTTTTACCTATTTTCTATCTTATATTATTATATTATATATGCCTATATATATAAAGGAATAGAGTAAGGAAGAAAAGAAGAGAGTATAATAAAAAGAAAGTTAGCTATATTATACTACCTTTTTATTATTCTTCTCTTCTCCTTTAAATAGAGGTATATATCTTTAGCAGATATATATATAGGTTTATACTACTTATATTAGCCCTAAATTATATTAATATAATATTCCTTATATACTGTATATTAATCCTATTTAAAGGTATACGCTAAACCTACCTTTAATCTATTATTATTTATCTTTTCTCTATTAAGTAGTATTTTTAATATTATAGGTAATAGACTTTTTCTAAGTATTAAACTTATTAGACTTTATTAATAATATAGTAATTACTTATAATTATAATAAGATAAAACTAAAAGATACTTTTATAAATATAATAATATAAGTATATCTTATTTATTCTTTTATTCTTTCTTATTCTAATCTTAGCTATAAACTTTATAGAAGTCCTTAAATAGCCTCTATATTATTAGATATATCTATAAATAAAGTATAGTATAATATATAGATTACTTATATTCTCTTATATAGATCTTATTCTAAAAAGTTATAGAAAGACTATTTTAGTTACTCTAAGTCTAGTAGATCTAAAATATAGGTAGTAAAAAACTCTTTATATATATACTAGTATTAGGTCTTAATATAGAATTATAGTATAATACTCTATTTAAGAAGTCTTCTTAGATACTTAATAAAGGCCTAGATAGTAAGTTCTAGTATTATAAAAGTATATAGCTATTACTTTAGTAGTTACCTCTTTCTTTTTAATTAGATTCTTATACTTTTTAATATATATACTTAAAAAAAGAATTAATAGCTCTTAGGTAAAGATTCTCTAAATAAATAAAATAAAAGAAAAGTTTAGAAAATATAGGTTTAGTATTAGAAGTACTATATATAAAAGAGGTATATTCTTTATTACTTTAATATAGCTCTAAATTTTATATTAGTAGGTACCTAAATTATATAAAGTTAGATACTTACTATTATTAGAACTTTATTATATTAGTATAGTATATAATATGCAATATTACTATTAAATTAACTATAACCTTTAGTAGGCTTTTAGTAGAACTTATAAAGGTAATATATATACTTAAACTATTACTATTAATAACTTCTCTTCTTAAGATTTAATAGCTTTATAGGTTTAGTAGCAGTATTAAAGATTTAAAAGGTTATACTCTTAATATTAGTATATAGAACCTTATTTATAATAGCTAAAGTAAATATAAGGTAGGCTTAGGTTAAGGATATAGAGTTATAAATATCTATATATTTAATAATATACTAAAGAACTTCTAGCAGTATATTATTAAGTTTAGCTATATTAAAGATATAGTAGGTAGGGTATATAATTAATAAAAGAGGTTCTAAATAGAAAAAGAATAGTTAAGTTAGTAAGAAGTAGAAGTAATAAGAAAAAGAATAAAAGATAATATAAAGTTATAGTATAATATAAGTAAGACGCTATATACTTTTTATAATTTTAATAATATAGGTTTTATTAAAATAGATAGATAGTTATTTACTATATATATTAATAATTAGAAGTAATAGTTAGTAAAGGTACTTCTTCTTCTATAAATTTATTAAATAAATTTTAATATATAAGTAGCCTTAAAGAAGATAGATATAAAGTAAAAGAAAAGAGAAGTAAGTTTAAAAAGGTAACTATTTATAAAATATTACCTTTTAGATATATACCCTTATAGCCTATTAAATAATATTATATAGGATAAATTATATACTTAAAAATAGAAAAGAAGAGATATTTAGATAAAAACTACTTATTAAAATAGAGAGGTATATATAATTTCTAGAGGATACCTAGAATAGAGAGTAAGTAAACTATTTAATAGTACAGTAGTAGTTAAAATACCTCCTTTAGTTAGAAGTAATAATAGATAGTTAGAAGTAATAATAGATAGTTAAAAGTAATAATAGATAATTAGAAGTAATAATAGATAGTTAGAAGTAATAATAGATAATACTAATATTTTCTATCTAATTAGAGGTAATAATAGTTAGAAAGTAATACCTATTTACTTATATATAATAGTAATTTACAGTGTTCTACTCTAGGTAGAGTAGACTTACTTATAAAATAGAAATCTAGAGTACTTTATAGTATTCTACTCTAGGTAGAGTAGACTTATTTATAAAATAAAAATCCTAAGTAACTTATAGTACCTAGTACTACTCTATAGAGAGTAGACTTACTTATAAAATAGAAATTCTAAGTAACTTATAGTATCCTACTCTAAGTAGAGTAGACTTACTTAAGAAATAAATAGCCTAAGTAACTTATAGCACTCTGCTCTAGGTAGAGTAGATCTATATAATAAATAGAAGTATATTTTTATAAAACCTTTTTCTATACTTATTATAATATTAATATTTTTAGTATTATTAACCTTAACCTAACTCTTCTACTTAGCTTATTACTCTATTATTAAATTAATTCTTAGTATTCTTTATATTAAATAGTACTTATTACTTAGTAAGTTCTAGTTTTAAAGTTCTTTAGTACTTAAGTAAACTTAAATACTATATTTATATTCTTAACTTACTAATCTACTTAGTAAAAGGTAAAGATATAAAATTCTATACCTAATTTAGGCTTAAAGATTACTATATTAAGTACTTTAATTAGTATTTTACTATATTAAATACTAAATAAAAAGGCTTTACTAAGGTAGTAAAGTATTCTAGGCCTAAGTATTATTAAGTAACTTAAAAGTATTGTTCTAGAATTATAATATATTTTAGACTAATACTTAAAAGTTATTTTTTAAGAATTGTTTTTAAAATTAATTAAAAATACTACTTACTACTTAGTAGTAGTACTTATATATAAACTTTTAAAAGTAATTTCTAAGAAAATTTAAAAATACTAAACTAGGTAATTACTTTAAGAACTATATTAATACTACCTTCTAGCTATATTTTAAAAATAAAAAAAAACTTATTTTATTAACTTAGAGTTATTTTATTAGGATTTTATAAGTTTCTTTAAATAGCTAGTTTTTTTATTAAAAAGTATATTACTTTTTACTTAAAGGTTTTTTTTTCTTTATTAAGGCTCTTTATATTTTTAATATAGGTAGCTAGGCCTTACTTTAAGGCTAGGTTATTTTTAGTTTTAAGTAAGAATACTATTAGGCTTTTTTTTAGTATAATATTTTATTTTCTTTAAAAAAGTATTATTTTTTTATAAATAAAAATAACTTTTATTTATCTTAAACTAATAACTCTTTTTAAGAAAAAGTATAAGGAATTTAAATTAATAAAAATACTATAAATAGGTAATTAAGATATAAACTAGATAAATATTTATTAAGAAATTAGATATATTCTTAGAGTATAAGCCTTAGAAATTTATAAGTACTATATACTAGAGCTCTAAGGTTCTTATACTCTTTACCTAGAGGTTTACTAAAGGTAGGCTAATAAAAGCTTAGATAGAAATACCTATAATATAAAGTTTACTTTAATAATATAAAAGTTTTTATAAACTTTAGTTAAACTATATAATAGTAGTAAAGGTAAGTTAATAAACTTTACTTTAATAATATAATAGCTTTAGTAAGCTTTAGTTAAGATATATAATAATAGTTAAGTTAACTAGTAAACTTTAGTTAAACTCTATAATATTAAACTAGAGTAATATAGGCTATAATTACTAATATTAACTTTATATTAGTTACCTAATCTATATAGTCTAGTCTAGATAGCTTATACTAAATACTTTATCTTTTACTTTTTTCTAACTAAGCTTATAATACTTAAATTATACTCTAATTAATTTAATAATTAGGTTAATACTATTTTATACTATAGGTAACTTAGTAAGACTTAGTAATATATTTTAGTAAATACCCTAGTACGTAATAGGCCAGTAAGTGCGCTCTATCTAGGGGCCTGTGTTCTGCCGCGTCTGCGTTCCTATATTAGTTAGCGCGGTGCGTTGTTGCTCCTCGCGTTAAGCCTGCTCGCGCTCCCGCACAGATTCGAGGTGTTCGTTAGCACACGATAGGCTTAGCGGGCGCAGTGTGCTTCCGTTCACCAACACCGTCTAGTATCTGCGCGTCGGGCCATTACCCCATGTCTGGAGGAACACATCGTTGTAGAGGTCGTCGGTCCTCTTTTTGGAAGGCTGTTCGCGCAGATGGAGTTTACCAAGATGGCTAATTAACTGCTTTAAGCTTGTGGTACAGAACTCGCACCTGCGGCAAGCGTACCTAGCCTTTGTGAACCTGGAGCTCTGGATGTGATGTTGATCCATGCGCACGGGGAGGAATACTGCTAGGGGCCCTGAATTCACGCGAATGCTGCTGCAGATATTGTGTGAGCCCCTTGCGGAGCTGCTTGGAAACGTCGTGTTTCCTGGCGAGGTGGGTGGTAACCTAGGAGCTCGTAGTGGCGAGAGCGTACTTGCATCGGCGACATATCAGGGCCTGGCTGTTGCTATCTACATGCAGATCGCAGCGGGCCAGGATGATTGGGGTACAGTCACGATCCATGATGATGGAAATGGCAACACGGCAGGCAGGCAAGAAGAATCAGCATCTGAGAACTACGAGACGGCAGGAAGAAGGCTGCAGAGAGGAGAAAAGAGGGGAGCAAGGCATAAGGCGTGGTTGTCGTAGTGGTGTCGGCAGGGCGACGGACGCGTGCACGGCCGTTTTTCGGAGATTTAACAAAGGTTATTAGGAAGCACGGACTGAGATTGAGAAGTTTCATCAAAGTTCCAGCAAGCATTAGCCCAGTAGTAGTAGGGATTGTTGGCGCTTATTCAGGGTTTCTCGAGGGATTGATGGCTATGGCCAACGATACCCTCGCCCATTGATAATAGAAAGAGCCAGCGCACATCCAATCCTCCTATTCCTCACTCGAAGGAATATCACGGCCGCACTTGTCCGCCCAGTACGTTCCAAGGGCGATGAGCATCCAGCTATCTGCGTTGTTATACGCTGCTTCGCCATCCTCCTCCGCCAAGTCTGCGCATCGCGCCGATCCGTATGCGTAGTCCAGAAGTCGAGGCTGGAGTCTGTAATCTAGATGGCTGAATTCGTGCAAGAGTGTGAAACCTAATGTCCGATCAGCATTTTCACCATTAGAAGCTGTACAGCTGGTGCTTACCTCCAGTTTCGAACTCATCGAGCGAACGGATTGGATCCTCGCTACACCACGCCTCATTCGCAACGGAATCCGGTGGCAGAGTAAAATATTCATCGCACAGTGTTATACTGTCATCATCAGGATTCGTCACGGCGTAGCTCACGTAGCCCGGTGGAGCATTCTCGGGTTGCTGAGTACAGGCTTCATTCGCAGTATTACGGCAGTTGATATTAACCGTGATATCGCCGGCGTTGGACAAGCCCGCATATGGCTGCAAGTAATTGGTCTTGTAATTATCGACGTCCTCCTCCGTCAGCCTGTCGCTAGGCCAGAACGTGGCCAGGTAGAAACTGTCTTCGTTGATGATATCATTCACTCTGTTAGCATAGACAATACCAGCAGAGTAGTCGGCGGCAAAGCGTCCAAAGTCTTCCTCGCTGCAAGCTCCCTGGACAATGTTGCGCTTGACTACGCTATGAGAGGTCAGAACCGAGCTCTCTGACCAGCAAGTCTGGTGAAGGTAACGTACCGGTCGCCAATCTTGGACTCATGCGTCAAGACAGGGCTTGCCGATGCAATGCTTGCGAGCAGAGCAGTAGTTACCACCAAGCGGCTGAAGCTCGTGTGCGTCATGCTTGCAGATGGAACGGTTGGTCTGGTGAAGATGAAAGAGAAGTGATGGTCTGGTGAAGAAGATTGAGGATATTGAGGATGCACCTTGGAGATGCGTTGCCATAGGGTCTTTTTATATACGAGTCTCACGCCATCATCGGACACAGCAAGGCACAAAATGTCAACGAGATCAACAGACTGTGCCTCAAAAAAGAGAAAATATGACTCAGAACTAGTAGACTGCGCCTCAGAGGTAGTAGAGTGTGCTCAGCATTAGTAGACCACGCCCCAGAGTTAGTGAACTGTGCCTCAAAAAAGAGAAA